ATAAATCTTCATAAGTGGGTGCATTACATATATGATAGACCAGCATTCCCAATATTTCCAGCCAGGTTGGCTGGCAATTTTAAAAGTTTAGTTCAAGAAATCTCAGTTATGAAAGCCTATGTCAACCTGGGGACAGCTTCAAAAGTAAGATAAGAAAACATTCCTTAATCCATTCCATGAAAAAGACAACTGTATTGAAGATTATTTTTATTTCCTTATATGCTTCTGTCCAAGGTTTTTGTGAAAATTATTTCACCATTAAAATGAAATGTTTTGTAACATTCATTTAGACGTACTCTCAGGACTGTATAAGACCTTAAGTTACAGATTAACAGGCAAAATCTTTGCTGTATAACTCTGTTCTTGTACAGTATTCCCATGTGCCATTTTTTTGCAGGTGGAAAATCCCCGTTCATCAATTTATGCAGGTATGTATGTAATACCCATTTAAATGTAATGGACATTTGACTTTATTGTTCTTTCTTTTTCCCCCTCTTGGCTATTACACTGAAGTTTTGCTGTAAATAACCAGGCAGAAGGCGCCTGCTATTTTAACAGAAATGGAGATGGTTTCTTTTAAAAAAATAAATAAATAAAAACCATGTGCATGTAGATTGGATAATTGAAAAAAACTGAGAGCTACAAAAGTTGAAATTATTATATTGGTTACACAAGAATTCACTGAGGTCAAAAGGCCATTGTCCAACTGGTCTTATAGCAAGCCTAACTAAATCCCTCCAACAGATGACACAATCATTTTAGAAAAGCTCTCTGCGTCTTTATCCAAAGCATGGAGCAGATGTGCTATTAAGCTGGCAAGAGAGATCTTTTCCGGACTCTACAAAATGTTATTTATAGATTTATCAGGAGAGGAGCCAGAATAACAATTGCATGTGTTGCCACCTCAGTTCAGACTTAATACAAAAAGGGCATTAGACTTTCTGTGTTTGCTTTTCTTCTTCAGTCTATTCAGACAGACATCCATCCTATACACACAAGACACTTTTACATACACAAGATTGTTGTGCACTAGCCAAGAAAAAGGAAAAGATCTTCCTATTAGCCCACTCACTGCTTGATGCAAATGAGCAATAACTACAAAGATGGTTCATTGCTTACGAGTGCATGTTCTTTTCTCAATTATGTTTTAGAATGAAAAAGGACCATAAACGTTTTCAGACAAATAAATGCGCTGGAAAGTTGAACTACATTAAGATCGGAGTTTATTGTGTTGTTGCCAACATGGAAATAAAGGATATAGAATCACAGCCAACACAGATGTCTACACCTACTTCTCTAGCACTTTTTTTTTTCTTTACGAATAAATGGAAGAAGGTAACTCTCTAGATACTTAACACTGAGAATAAATTTATATTGTAATACAGTGAGCTGTTTGTTATTCATTTAGTCTGTCTTCTTTTTAGACTCCAGAGAATTTGAACTCAAATGAGCTACTGAGTATAATTAATACTTTGTATCCCCGGCTCGCATAGGTTAGATATCCAACCTAACAGAAATAAACTGTACTCATATTATTTTTCTCTATGCTGCCTCTTACATCCCTAAAATGGTTTTAACCCAAGCTTAAGTAACAGTAATATAATATGGTTGCACACTATTTTATTAATGTACGTTTTTGAAAAATGGAAGAATTCCATACTGGTCCGATATCATCTCAAATGTTACATCTAATTCTATGCATCTAATTCTATGCACCATATTTTTAAAAAGTTTGAAATAAATTCGAATGAAGTAAAGAAGGGCAATGGGAAGGATAAGAGGACCAGAAATTAGATCTGACAAAGAGAGATTGAGAGAAGTGGTAATATAAAGTCTTGAAAAGAGAACTCAGAAAGCAATGATCCAAGATTCATCAAATACCTTATGAGATTATCATGCAAATGGTAACCAAGACAATATTTCCCTGTACCAGCATGGAGCAATGTCCTATTGTGCAGAACATGGAATAATTATTGTAAATTAAAGGACAGTATAGTAAGAAATGGAATCCGTTACCTAAGGAAGTAGTGTGGTCTTCTCCACTTAACATATGTAAACAATGTACAGACATACTGAATATACGCGAATGGTTTCATTTGGATTCATGCACTGAATAAGGGAGTTGGATCAATGCCCTAAAATATCTCTTCCAACTCAGTGATTCTATGATTAAAATTTTAGTTGGCTGAGGGGGTAGATGGAAGAGCACCAAGATTTTCAGAAGCACAAAATACTTTACAGGAAGTAAACACCATAGGGTGGGGTGGGGGGAACATGCCCACTATCCATAGAATTCTAACTAGCAGTTGAAAAGGGAGAGAAAACAAAAAAAATCAGGGACAATGAAATACAGCTATCATCCTGGTAGAGATCAGGATTCCAGCTCAGGAGCCCTCAACACCACACTCCACAATTCTTTATTACAGAATTCACCACCATATTCTTAATGTCTAATATGGCACATTTAAATTAGAGAAAGTTACGGGAGACTTTTATCACTCTTCAGGATAACATAAGCAAATTGGTTTAGCTCTAGAGGATGCATCAGCTTTAAGCAGTAATGGTACAAGAAGCTAAAAGCAATAGGCTGGAAAAGATATAAGCTACTAGTATAGTGTTCAAAACAAGCCTGCTCCATCTTTTCCAACATCTTATTGGCTACAGAGAAGTTTCATAGCTAACTACCAATCAGAAACCCCTTAAGGATGACTGAGGCGGCAAAGGCCTTCAGAAATGGGCCTATAAAAAACTTTATAGCATGTCTTTAGTTCTTCCACAGTTTCACTCTTAAGCAAAAGTCGACCACCTGTGATTCCTGAAGCACTTACCAGCCCACCCCACCCCCTTTTTTTGCACGGGTTGTGGAAAGATTGCCCACTCCTATTTTTAAGGCAAAAATGACAGTATTTCTAAGTTATACAAAACAGAACATCGAGAACCATGAAAGCTGTTACTTAAAGATGGCACCAACTTTATATTACACCTGACCAGTTGTTATGTGACAGAGAGGATAGATAGCAAAAAAGAGATTTTTGCCTTCCGACAGCTGACTGGACAACAGAGCAAAGTCTTGAGAGCATTTTTATATCTTAAAAATGTTATACTGTGGGATGATTTCCCCAATGCAGCTGCCTTTTCATCCCAAAAGAATCTGAAGATAAAAGAAGACGTCAGTTTGCAAAACATTCCCCGGATTATATTGGGAGTTACCAGTTTATATCGACAACAGAAAGCTTGTTCTATAGTGGTGCCATCAAAACGCTTGTTTGACACTAATCCAACTGAACTAATACGAGTATCAGGTTTCACTCAACAGGCCATGTGATTTTGGGGGAGAAAGGGAAGGAAAGAGAGAAGGAAGGTGGGAGACCAGGTCATACATCCACTTACCCAAGTTAAGGAAGTCTGTGCTAGAGGAAGGAGGCGGTGCACTGTGTGTGGAAGGAAACATAGCAGGTGCAGTTGGTGCATTTGAACTAAGAAAATCACCAAAGAGATCAGGACCGGTAAGAGTTGGACTGTCTGCACTGACCGTGAATGGGTCAAACTGGTCGGCTAAAAATAAAACAAAACAACAACATAGCTGGTGTTACTTGAGATGCTTCCAGGAATAAGGCAAACAAAAATTAAGGTTCTGCTCTGGCAAATATTGCAAGCCTGAGGAAGTGCCGACACGAGGCATATTAAGGATAAATTCTGTCTAGAAGTTAAGACTGAGCTTTACGCAACCTTTGACTACTAGGGCTTAATTACACAATGAAAGGATTTCTAATCATCAGAAAGAGCAGGGGTCTTCTGTAATAGTTCCTTATTCGTTCCGCCTCTTAAGTCTCTTGACTCTCAATAAAGAAAAAGCTGCAACCTCTGAAGCACACAAAAAGCCAACTAAGTTCCATACTGAAAGAAAGCCCGCCTGGCACACTGAAATTAGCACAAAACTCATCAGCAGAAGGAAACCTAACAGGGCTTCCTTTACAAAAAAAAAAATAAACCCCAGTGGCCTAGTGACCCGAACGGAAGTAGAAAAATCAAGTCATACTGTACCGGTCAGAAGGGAAGGCATTATTGATTATTTTTTCAAAAGAAGCTACAAAAGGGGAGGAGTGGAAAGAAAAACAAACGGAAGAGGAGCTTCCAGCCTGAAGATATTTCACTGCCTAGTGTCAAGCAAAAACTGACTGCAGCGGCTCAGGAACCGGTATTTATATATCCAGCAGGGAATGCCACACTGTGGCCGGCAGGAAATCTGGCAGATGCTCCACCTTGCCACTTAAAGGTTTTAAGAGTCAAGGCTCCTAGAAGCTAAGATTATGGTGATGTTTGTTGGGAACACAAAACAGCACCGTTGCTCGTTTTAGCAACCCGCTCCACTCGCCACTCATCGTTTCAAGCAAAACTAACCTGCTCATCTCCGATCATTTCCATCCCACATCAGCAGCCGAACAGAGCAATAAACAGGGCGTTTTTCATAAATAGCTCTCATACAATCCTGTACCCAAACTATACCAGCACTGTTGCCCTCATCTGATGTCAAGATATATTACAAGCAATAGCACAAATCTGCTTTCTCAAGAGCAAACTTTCATTTATAACAGACTGAGAGGACAGGATCTCAACAGGTTAAAAACCATACTACAAGGCAGTTGGTAAGTAAGGACTGCCAGTAATGGCTACCATTGATAGCACCCAAGAATAAAGCTAAAACTGATTCCATTATTCTTGGATGATATTAAATTGTAAGTACGCACCTCTTAAAATTTAGCTATTAAAGCAAATTTAAACCATTCTTGCTTTCCAGCTCCTGCCTTTATCTTTAAGGTAACAAGATGTACTAACGGTAGGAACAATGGATGGATTAAACAAATGATCGCTACATTAATGATCAGTGTAATTTTTTTGTCAATTCTCTCCTCCTCCATACACCTCCTAACATCTCTATATAAATAAAAATGTAAATGTTCGTTTGTTCAAAATCTTAAATCTCCGAAAGTTCTTCACCGATTGCTTTGAAATTTTGACACAACGTTGCATTCGAATACGCGCGTGTTTTTATATACCTACTATTATATAGATGTCACACCTGTGACACAAACGTGCGCTTTCTCTTTTCTTTCTTTTCCATTTAACCAGACTGANATGTAAATGTTCGTTTGTTCAAAATCTTAAATCTCCGAAAGTTCTTCACCGATTGCTTTGAAATTTTGACACAACGTTGCATTCGAATACGCGCGTGTTTTTATATACCTACTATTATATAGATGTCACACCTGTGACACAAACGTGCGCTTTCTCTTTTCTTTCTTTTCCATTTAACCAGACTGAGCCACAGCAACGCGTGGCCGGGTACAGCTAGTACTTATATAGGATTTGTTGTGCTACAAACACAAAGGCTAGAACTGTACCATTAAAAGAAAATCAAATGAAAAAAGCTGAGATTTTCAAGATCAAGCGTCTATTGAAACATTTCATGTTATACTCTAGAGCAGATTTTTTTTTTTTAAAAAAACCTGAGCTCTGTGGAGAGACTAATGGAAAAAAACCACAACTCTTCACAAGATACTGAGGGTGAAACTCTCTACAAGGGACAAAGGCACAGCAGAAAAGGCGGGGCTTGTCAGATGACATTTAGAAGCCCCGCCCTCTTAACCACAGATCTGACACAAATGCCAAAAGAAACAAAAGGCTGTCTACCTCACGTAGCTAGCTCTGCAGGCCAGAGTTGTAATGAAAAGGAAGCACGAGGTACCTACCTGTAGAAGAAGAAGGGGCTGCTGTTGAGGAACTGTTGCCCTGGGAATTTGCTGAGGCCTGGGGCTGGCCACCAAAGAAAAAGTCTGCTCCTCCACCCAGGAGGTCTGCAGTTGAATCTTCTGAAATTTCTGGAGTGCTACTAACGAAGAGTCCATTCAGCAAGTCTGCGTTGCTGGAAGAACTCTTCATCTCTGTCGGAGGCTGGAGCAGTTCGGGAGCAGCCTCTGAATCAAGCCCAAGCAAGTCAATGCTACCTTCTTCAGGAGTCTCTTCTGACTGATCAGCTGGTATGTCAAAGCCAGCTTCAAAAAAATGCTTGCCATGTTTCTGTTCCAGGAGGCGCATCTCCCTATCCTCAGAAGGTCTAACATCGCTGGGGAAGGTGGAGAATTCCTCGTCGGAAGGTTCATTCTCCTCCTTTTCCTCAACGCACCCAAGACTCTCTTGAGAAAAGGGACCTTCAGGAGCAGTTTCAGATTGTTTTCCTTCTGTTTATTAAAAAAAAAAGGAGAAGTTTATTATATTCATATGCCTTTCTCGGAGGAATTCAAAGCAAAGCATATGGGATTCTCTTCTCTTATCAACATAACAATTCATCCAAAGGCACCTGCTGAACTCAAAATGGCTGCCTTCAGAAGAATATAACTTTATATGTCAACAACCACTTTTCCCATGGGGCAATTTGGTAAAGCTCCAAGCAGCACTCCTCAAATTGCCATGGCTGCCAAGTCTTAGCACAGCCTTCAGATTCCAACTCCTAGAATAGGAGTATGGTGGCTTGCGTGGTTAGGACGCTGGGTTGGAGGTTAGCAAGCCCACGTTCAAGACCCAAGTGATGCCGTGCAGTAGGGTGAGCTCCCGTCCTTTGCTCCAGCTCCTGCCAAGGACATGAAAGGAACCCCCAACGGGGCATCCCCCAGGCAACAGTGATGTCACTGGCTAATCCTTTCAACCCAGAAGTGCCTTGGTGCTTCTGACATGAGTGCAAACTCCTAAAATCTCCTAGTTAGCACGATTACTGCCAAGAATTCTGGGGAATTACAGTCCCACATGTTGAGACTGCTCAGTTTGAGGAAGAGTGTCTTAGTGCAACTGACATCAACTCCAGAGACCTCTTTTGCCTCTACAAAGGCTAGAGAAGGAAATGGTCAGACGCAACAAAATGGCCAGCAGCGGAAGTCTCTCCTTCTTGAAAAAGAAACTGAAGTGAGGAGTTTGACCAAGGAGATTGTTGAGAGAAAATGCTTCAGAAAATCATATCCATCATGATCAAGAGGAAGCAAGGAAGCAAGCTGTTTGCTTTCTCTATGCAACTATAATGGATGAAGCAAAGCAGGTGTGGTTAAAACAAAAGGCACACTAGAAAGCAGAGCTCTTCCATTGGCTATGTTTAAAGACCAGTTTGGGGTTTTTATGCTGACTTGGTTAGATTTAAGAATAAGGACTTTTCTCTCTCTCTTTCCTGCTCCCCCCCCCCCCCACTTTCCTGCCTGTCATGGAATTTAGATTATAAGACTATGGGGAAGGATGAGATCAATCATCCATAATCTGCTCTGAGAACTTTGAGGCTAAGAGAAGGATAAAAAGAGAGTTTAGAAAAACGAAGAGAGTCAACACAGCTTTTGCTAGTAACAGATCTTTTTACCTTTACCTTGCCAGTCTAGTGTATGAAAGAAGTTTGCCTCAGCACAGCTGCTCTCTGGAGAGTCTGGCTCGACAGGTGGGCCTTCAGAAGAGGCTTCTGATGTTGATGCCTCTGCTTCGTATTGGGCAGTTGATCCCGGCTGCCTAGGCAGTTCAGGCTTACCTATCAGATGAAAAATAAAAATAAAAATCAAACCCACGGAATATAAAAACATCCTATTTAAGAGATGGGCTCTTTTGTTACTGGCTTCCCCTTTAGTGCTTAAAAAGGAAAAAAAATGAAAAAGCTACTCAAGTAGAGAGTGAAAAAGAAGATTATGTAGAATTCAAGCAGGTGTTCTTTCTTTTTCTTACCAAATTTCGATAAAATCTCTTGCTGTTCTTCGCGGCTGGAAAAAAGGATCTTGGGATTTAGACCTTTAATGTTCAAGTTATCCCAGGGAGCTCGTTCCGTGATGGGCTTATTTCGTGGCTCTACTTCTACTTCTAGATTCACTTGAAACAAGTCAGGATACTTCTCCTGAATATCGCAGGCATCCAGATCATACCTGTATGCAATATTACATTAGTTAGAAGCACTTCTTTTTAAAAGGAAATTGCAGAGGGAAACCTCTTGAAGCAAGACTATAGAGCCCTTAAACAAACTTCGCTTGCTTCAACGAGGCTCG